CCAGAAATTACTCCCAGGCAGAATACTTGCCTTTTTCTAAACAAATAAGACATCCACAGCCTTTCCCTCAGTGCCAGGTTCTGCCAGTTATTTTTTTACTCCTCATATGAGGTAGACCTGTTGTCTACCTTCCAGTCTTATTGCTCTTCAGTGTTTGGGCAATCCCTTATCCTCTCCCTCCTCTGGGGCTGTTGTTGCACACAGGATTACTGTTGCTTGCTGGTGTACCATTATGATCTTTCCTCTCCTTTAGATGCACCACAGGTTCAATGCATAAAGACTTACAAGGCTCGGGAAAACGATGAACTGGCTTTGGAGAAAGCAGATATCGTTATGGTTATGCAGAACAGCAATGATGGTGAGCAGAATGAACTGTCTTAAATTATGGGTAGGAAGTTACCCCTGATGGTGTAAAGCTTTAACAACACAGTCGGGCTCAGGAAGGAGCCTCTCGATGAAGAGACTCTTCATCTTCATTGAGACCCTTTATTTGGAAGCTGAAAGGGGATATTTTTCTGTGATTTTATGGCCTCGTTGGAGGGGGGGCTTTTGGGGAAGAACGAAAAAACGTTTGGCTGTTTTGCCTCATGTTATGCTTTTCCCCTCACCACAGGATGGATGGAAGGAGTAAGACTTTCAGACCGGGAGAGAGGCTGGTTCCCTGCCGAACACGTGGACCTCATCTCCAGCAAACACGCGCGGCAGAAGAACCTGAAGGAGGAGCAACGTGTGAAGAATGCCAAGCAGCAGGTCTTCTGCAAGAAATAAGAATCTATTTTGTTTGGACCTGTACAGTCTCCCTGCCATGGGGAAACCATCTTTTTTTCTATCGTGCCTCGGAAAAAAACACCTCTGCAAAGAGCATAATACAGCACTTTGACAGAACCAGGTGCTTTTTGCCAAAGAAAGCGGGAATTCAATCAGGAAAAAAAAAATCATTCGCTTCCTCGGTGTCACCAGGACTACGGCAGCAGTAGGAGGAGAAAAAGTTGCATGTATCGCTTGCTTTGTGGTAGTAGGGAGGGACTTTAATGGGGCAGAGGTCTGGGATCTGGATTTCTGACAACATATTCCTGGTTTTGCCACTGACAAGTTGTTGCAGGACCTCGGGCAAGTCACTTCAGAATTCTGCCTCGGTTTTCCCATCTGTGAAATGGGGGTAAACTCACCTACCTCACCGGGTGTTGTGAGGCTAAATTCACTAGTATTAGAGAGCTTTGAGTTCCTGAGAAGGAAGGTGCTAAGTGCAAAGCACAACGTAGTTGAGGAGAGTGTTCCATTTGAGTGTCCTCTTGATATCTTGATGGTATTGATCTCCATAGTGTAATTTCCTTTAGAACAATTTATCTATTTGATCGTGCAAGTCTACTGTTTTTTAGATAGGCAAATATTTCATTGTACCTAAATTTAACTCGGTCTCAGCCTACTGTTATTGGCCAGTCCGGCCCAAACCACGGCAGATTTCTTGACAGCATTAGAAAATCCACTTAAGCAAAGTTTTCAGAAGCCACTGTGATGATTTCCCCCGCCTTAAGAGGTATCAAGTTGAGGAATCTGTTTCTCAATGGTCACCTCCTTTCTGAACAAGTGTCCCAGGAAGCCATCTGAGATGACCCCTTTATACACTGCCTCCCACTCAAAGTAGAAGAGTGACTTTCGACGAAGATTTTTATTGTGTGTTGGTACACACCCTGTAAAAAAAAAAAAATAAAAAATAACCATGACTAGGCATATGCAATGAAGTGGCACTTTCCTGCTGCTCTTAACCTGATAGCTGACGTGGTATTGCATGCACCATTTTGCACACTTATAGAAAACACTGAGATATTTAGCCACTGTAGATAAAAGTCAAAATATGTACCAGGGACTTGGTTCTTTTTTAGAACTCTCTGGTTTCAAGTCCAGTTTACATGCAGTCCTGCTTTTGTGCAGAACCTGTTTGAGGATATGCCTTCAACTGTAAGATACTGTTTCTGTGTTAAAGTGTTTGCGTTCGGTCAATGCAAGATCAAGTATGAGAATCAGTACACCAAAGAAAGCAACGTGTAGCCTTCTTGCATTTGATACATTTGAAGAATTAGTTATCTTCACATCTCCAGCTTTCTATCTCTGTAACATTCTGCCTTTAATTCCCATTTACGTTGTATCTAGTATAGCGTATTACAGCCTATTTATATCAATAATTTTAGCTGGATTAAAAAAGAAAAAAAAGTTGCTTTTAGTCCTAATAAACTCATGCACTTCTCGAGTTGAACAACTTTCTTCTTTCCTTGTTGCTTAGCTTTTCATCTCAAATATCAGCGATTCAATATTTACTGAATATATATTCAGTATTTTCATATCTTTTTAGATAGAATTTGCCTTTTTAAGTGAATATTCAGTGCAAATAGCTATACTTGGCAGAGGCAGTGAGGAAGGCTTGCTTTACCAGATATACCTTAAGGTTCTCCAGGGTGTTATCACCAGCCCTGAAGTGACAGCTGCTGCGGGTGCCGTAACGGTGGTATGTCCTCAGTATAGGCAAGCTATGGGGATGACCTACAGAAGATGGGAGTCCAGTAAGACAGGATGCAGTAATTTGGTTGTAAGGTCTTCTTACCCAGGCAGTCTGAGGCATCTCCTGTCCATGTCAGCTTCACCTTTGCTGCTTGTACAGTGAGGAGGCAGGCCGTAGGCATCGCCATTCCACATCAGAAGTCATCTTGTTAAACGTTTTAAAGGTCAAGAATTCTTTCCTCCTTCAACTTCTACTCTCAAAACTGAGCAGGTGTATTGTTCATTAGACTCTCCCAAGGTGGTTTCCCTGATGAATTCTCTATGTTCTTGTTAAAATTCTTCTTGAAATAGGAAACATCAAGGCGCCACTGTTGTTGTGACTGATGGGACTTCTATAATGTTTAATTAGTTGGATCAAAGGTTAACTTCTCCCTGTCACAGGTACAGGCTTTATTTCCTGTTAGGCTTTTTTTTTTTTTATGTTTCTAAACATTTAAAGGTCAGCTTATGCTCATGAGAGTGCCTGTACTCTGGTTTATGTGGATTTCTTACACTTCAGATAGGCCTCAACTTATCACTATTTAGTTTAAATTTATAGCCCCAGCAGGGGGCCACCAAATGCCACCAAAACCCATTAACAAACCTGCACTGACTTGTTTCCTGCTTTTTGAAACAGATTAACATCCCCTTGGTTTGTACAAACTTAATCAGAGTAATACAGTATCACTTTGTCCTGCTTTCGGCCAAATTTACCAAAACCAGAATGACAGATGGCGCTTCCCTCCACCCCTATCCCCCAAAAGAGAGAGGAAAGGAAGAGATAAGGAGATTTAGAAGTTTAGAATGAGTTAAACCTCTTTAAAGAAGTATTAATATTTAAACCAAAAACAGGAAATAATGAAATGGATACAATATATAGAAAACTGTATCAAGTTCCCAGGATGACATCACTGTCAGGCACTGGGGAAGTCCCAGACTGGACTCAGCGAGGGATGGGAACTGGGTTCCAGCTCCGGGGTCAGGAACACACAGATCAGGATCGAAAGCAGACAAACAGACAGAGTCCTCGTCAGATATTGGCCACCAAAGAAAGAGAGTTGACCCTTTGATCCCTCAGGATCAAAAGCAGACAAACAGACAGAGTCCTCCTCAGATATTGGCCACCAGAGAAAGAGAGTTGACCCTTTGATCCCTCAGCTTTTGCACTGAGCATGGGGCAGATGGGATGGAACACCCTGTTGGTCAGGTTTGGGTCACCTCTCCTGTCCCCTCCTCCCCACAGGTGGGACCCCTTTATGCCTTTTCCATTTCTGACCCTCCAATGGTGCAAATAACAAATTTAGCTGATCGTGGTTGTTACAGCAATAAGTATAAGCAGGGGCATCTCCGCACACCCTTCCTTGGCACAAAGTACAAACATAGGTCTTAAGCACTTTAAGAAGGAGCAGTTTTCTCCACAATATGCCGCTAATTTCAGAGAGTTAGAAGCAGCCTAGCCAAGATGTAAAATTACTCACCAGAAAGCTGTCCCTGTTTCACTTCAAACTTAGAATTGCACATTCAGGAGGCAGGAGTCAAGCTGGCAAATTATCCGCTGCGTCCTATTACAGTCTTAATTATGAGTCAAGATCTCTCCCTGTATTATCTAACGTGGATAACCCCATTGCCCAGAAAATCAGTGTTAAACAGAAAGAGAAGTGTAGGCTTTGAGATCCCCAAAGGAGGTCCACAGCATAGGAACACCGTAGGAGATGTCGGTGTATCTTGAACCATCATCTCCCACGGGCACCTGTGGGGGCTGATACGTTGTGTGGGCAAAAGAAATTCAGTGTTTCTGTACTTAAAAAGAAAGACAACCTTTAGAGGGCAGCTGCAGTCATTTGAGTGGCGAGAACAGCGATGACATACAAGCACGAACTACATTTAAAAAGTTTTGTTGAGAATCTGAGAAATTTGTGGTTTACGAAGGTCAAATGTTATGACTGCTGACATGTTTTTATGTAAAAAATTATATCTAAAAATATGTGTGGCTCAAAAAAAAAAAAAAAAGTTTACAGCCCTGGAGACCTATGTTGGTCCTTCCTAAAGGAAAATGAATGAAAACTTCACAGTTCTTACTCCCTTTCACAATACTAGAAGAAGCTGGCACTAGGACCAGAGCTCAGTAAATGAACACGACCTTGCTCAGAAACGGGAGACTCTAAAGCAGTCAGAGATTTTTAATTTTGCACTTTCAGCTAATACTGAAGAGGCCCTGTCCCCTCCAAGATCAGAGCTGGGTTTTGTCAGCTGAATGCTGCCCACTAATTAACTGCTGGTTTTGCTGCAATGACATTCCAGGTGGCACGTTGGTGCACTGTTTAGGCTAATTATACCCTCTCCAAAATGCTGGCACATGGGTTCCAGGTGACCCTCATCTAACATAATGAAGCTACTCCCAGGTGAAAACACCTGCAGAAGCAGGACCCTGGATGCCAGAGCGAACCTTGAAACAGAGATGGGGCATGTGGGGAGATCCAGAGTGGGAGAAGGGTGCCGTGCTGGCAGTGAGGGTGGCGTGGCAAGGTGAGGGTGAAAAGCTGTGTTTACACAGGTTTACACAAGCCGGCCGCGCTTCACTTGGTGGTTAGGAAAGCTGTACACAGAGGACACTTCAATATATTCATCAATAACCTGGGTGAGGGGATGGAGTGGACCCTCAGCGAGTTTGGTGACCGTACAAAACTGGGAGGGGTTGTTGACATGATGGAGGGCTGAGCTTCCATACAGCGAGACCTGGACAGGCTGGAGTTGGGCAGAGGGGAACCTGAGGAACCTGATGATAAAGGGAAGTGCAGGGTGCTGCACCCAGGGAGGAATAACCCCCTGCACCAGGGCAGGTTGGGGGTGACCTGCTGGAGAGCAGCTCTGAGGAAAAAGACCTAGGAGTCCTGGTGGACAACAGGATGACCATGAGCCAGCAATGGGCCCTTGTGGCCAAGAAGGCCAGTGGCATCCTGGGGGGCATCAGGAAGAATGTGAGCAGCAGGGGGAGGGAGGTCATCCTGCCCCTCTGCTCTGCCCTGGGGAGGCCCCATCTGGAGC